GATTACAACATTTGATTAAATTGCGTGATTTCTCAAGCACCGCACAGATTTTTATTGAGTTACAATTTTCGGTATTGGTGATTTTTCCTATTTTATATTTGGCGGTACTTTTTCGGTGTGATTTTTTGGTATCATAGCCGACGACAGCAGGCGTGAGCAACGAATTCAATATTCCAGAGAAAAACGTTTTTGACTTTTTCTCAGCAATGTTTTTCACAACCGAATCAAAGCAGCTCAACCAAAATTGATACATTAGGTAAAGACAATCTTCTATCGAAGAATCCGTTTTTTTCTGCTTCGAAATTGAACGTAATTTTGATTATCCGAGACATTTTCTATCTCTTCTGCAATTGAAAATCATTAATTTTCGTTCATGAAGGTCGGTTGTTATTGCATCGATCAATCATCCTCACTGTAACCAATGAGTTGTTTTAATTTTTGTGCATTACACTTGGACAAACATTGATATTTAATCTTGAACAAAATGTTTTTTCCCGCGCTGCGACATCAACGGTTCATTGAACTACTGTCTCACATTTCTTCTTCACACAAATGTACAATTTAATATGCGCATTCATTTGCATGACATTCACATTTGAGATCAGACACAAAAACCTGAAAATTCGTCTCCGTTGCGCCAATTTTGTACTTTGGCACAAGGTGGTTCTGGATTAGAACCAAAATTTCTTTTAAGCTCGTCAAAATATAATAATAAAAACATAATTTGGCCGTAAAAAAGAAGCAAGAAAAAGAATTTTTAGAGGAAAAAGAAGATTTTTCAACGATTTTTCTAGGTAAAAACATTTTTTTCTTCAGATACACAATTTTGATGCTCAAAAAGATAAAAAATGAAACTTTCTTTTACGCAATAAGAAAATATGAAACTTAAACGATGAACAATACCATAAAGTATTCCTCTTCTCGTGGAAAAAAAAAATCATCAACTTTGATAAGTTGAGTGATACTCTCTGACTTATTCAAAACTTGTCACACACACAATCAATCAAAAACACAATTCCATAACATAAATGTAAACCACTGTGTAGTTTAACTACAGAAAATTGATTCCGTTCCCCGTTCATATGGCCAACGATTCGCGTCAACAAAACAATCAGCTCAATTGTACGGAGCAATTGAAATTAAAGCCATGACTAATGAATTGTGATGCTGACACGCGCTCGGACACTTCACTCAATCGTCTGTTTCACAATTGATCGCATATTCTGAGTATTCTGATCTTTTTTTATCTACTTTGATTTGATGTTACACATTTTTCACAGTGAATCAGAAAACAAATAACCCATTAATTCATTCTATTTCATTCAATTTCGGAATTTCTACAAACAGTTTTTGTGTTGTATTTAATACTAAAGTTTCAAGTGTTGCGCATTTACACACATACGCTTAATAACCGAATTAAAGAAGCTCAAAAGTTGTTTTGCTTTATGGAACATCACATGAACATCCGTTGAAGTTTCTCTGTTGCGAATCACGATAGAATCGATAAACCGTTGACACAAAATGAATTTGAGCACAGAAACAACGACTTAATTAGTACTACGCTAATTTCTTTGTGCTTCATTGATTTTTTCTTTCTTATTTTTCCTCAATTTTTTTTTTTCGTCCAACAAGTTGATTTTTCTTTATTTCCAATGGATATTGTCAATGTATCGTTTGGTTTGATTATTGAAAGAAAAAAAAAACTTCGCGAAAATTATGATAAAGTGCGTTGATTTTAAACAGAATTCACAATTAGCTTATTTCAACCAAGAATTCAAAACTCTGAACTGGATTCAAGTAGAATTCCAAATTGTCACTCCTTTTTCTGCTTCTCTTACTATAATTTGAATCAAATTTTAGAACTATTCACCTATTTCATTTCGTTTCAATACGTAAACCACTGAACAAATCTTTTAGTTTCACTTCTCAATGCAGCTCTTTCACTGAATCGCAGCCCTGTTTTTACTATCGTTTTTATGAAACTAGAATGAATAACAGCTGACGACTTGAACAAAACAATCAGCGCATTCTTTTATTATCACATTCGCTGAGCACAAAAACTATTTCAGTCTGGTGCTCCGTCGACTTACAACTGGCTATCGACCGGAGATCGTAGAACGGCAAAATGCAAACGATGAACATTGTACACTCGCACATTCTCGCTCTTTTGCTTGCGATCACGTGTTTTCAATTCGAAAATGAGAGGAAACAACCGTTCAATTCATTATAAATACTCGCATACGACATACACTATCAATCACTAGTTGATTCAACTAGTCAATACACTGACTAAGCACATGTTTTGTTCGCCGAGAGCATATTTTTTGTCATCATACAGAGAAGCGGAATGAGAATCAAAGAGCGAGAGAGAAACACTGTTAAGTGAGCAAAATTTAAAACTCGTTTTCGACGCACATGTCAATACGAAAAAAAACGCCTCTCATACCATCGCAGTGATGACGACACGAAACAAATAGTAGAACATCGTTTCGCGTAGCTACAATTTGCCGGTAATTTGCTAGTGTTATTAAAAAAATCGACCTTTACCAGATTGGCAATGTCGCACTCTGATGTTTTGCGATACTTTGTAGACTTGTTCAACGAATTTCGTTATTTAAAGTGTGTTTTTGACCTAAAGTACTGAACATTGGCGATATTTGTATGTGGCTTATAACCACTGGCTATGAAATATATGCAATGAATCAACAATTGGATGGAAATTAGTATTTTTTGCTCGGAATTCGTATTTTGGTTTAAGCGTTTTTCGCCGAAGAATCACCATCTTTTTGCTCTTTTAAGCCTTCAACCTAGCGAAGCATTCGATACAAAAATACAAAATGTTTGAACTTTTGCTAAATTATAAGATTATCTCATTTCGTTAAGTTGAGAATCTCAACTTGAGACTTTGTCTTTTGTTAATTTTTTTTTTTTTTTAACAAATAGTCATTTAATTGCGGTATTGCGATCATGTGGTCATTTAGACTTTGGAAATGATATAAATCTCAAACCACATTTCCAAGTTAAAAATACTTTGTTGATGGTTTTTATGGCGGTTTGAAGTATATTCCGTTGAACTATTATGGAATTAACGTCATTCAATGAAAATGCCGCTTCTCGGAAATGACTTTCACTGTTCAATTCAATGAACAGTAAGTTTATTTCAATAATGCAAAAAATGTAACACCCAAAATTCAAAACAAAAAAAAGCCGAATTTGAACAACACAAAGGATTTAAAACTGTAAACGATGTAAATCAACCTAGAAACTAATTGAAAATCTCCCGTTGTTTTTCCAGAAAAAGATGAAAATAAATTCAAGGCTCGAACTTACCGTGTGGATTTTGTTATTTTCAACTCCAATCTACGATGACTTTCAATATTTTTATGATATTTTAGCTTCAAACATTTCACTCTCGAAAAAAATCTCGGAACCAGTAAGTAAAAATCTGTGGAGCAACAACCATATTTCACTTTAACGTGTGAAAACAATCACGTTTATGATGGTTTACGACTTGAGTTGACAATGATAACGAAACATTTCTTCTGTTTTTACAACTTAATTGAAGTGTTATCTCAAAGACAGTGTGTGTATCTAATGAATGTTGATTTTGTTCTTTTTCTGTCCTAAAATACCTAATCACTTGAATGAAACAGGCAAACAGTAAACAAATATAGAATACCATGTTCTTTCTTAATTTCAATTATGATAAAATTGACGCTGACAATCGTACTGTGTAACTGAGGATGCATGCAGACGTCATTTGTTTAAAGTTTCTTTTTTCGTACAATAATTCATTGCGATTAGATAAGCTTTGTTAGTCCCAAACAATAACATGTGTTTAGTTTATGTTTGATCCGAGCAAATCAGCATTTCTAACAATGATACAAGGATATTTTGCACAATCTTGCTTGAATTCCTCTTATCACATAAGCTTACCTGTTTATCATTTGAACTAAAATTAAATTGGTGACAAATTGAAGAGATTATAATCGCTTCGTGCAATTCAACCGATTTCACAATGTAAACAATTATTTTGAAATGATGCAAATCTAAAACAACATTTCCAAGTCAAAAATAATTTATTGACGGTTTTTATGGCGGTTTGAAGTGTATGCCGTTGAACTTTTGTTACGGAATTAACGGCACTTGATTCGAATGAAAAGCCACTTCTCAAAAATGGCTATCACTGTTTTCTGAAATACTGCAAGTTTTCATGATCAGAAAGTGGTTTTTTATAGCGAACAAATTTCTTTTGGGCCGAATCCGATGAGCCATGTTCCACCATAGAACTTTGATTGATAAAGAAGATGATGCTGTATCATTGATGAAAAGAAAATATTATGATAAAGTATTATCTTGAGAATGTTTTCTTCTTTGAAAGCTAGCCTGAAAGTATTGTCCCGAGTCGGGACTCCCGACAGAGACTTCAAGACTCGGAATTTTTATATGGTGAACAATTTTCGCATTCATTTAAATCGCGATTTTCAAATTGAAATTAAGTTTCCAACGGAAGCTTCTGAAAACGGAAGAATGAAATTCAGAAAGCTCCTATTCAAATGAAGATGGTGCTGACTCCAGATTTTGCAGCTTCGTATGCGATAAATGTTCGTGTTGTCACGTAATCAAAATTATCTGTTGATTTTTTTTGTCATAGGTTTTTATCAATTGAGTCGGTTTCATTATATGGTTTTATCTGTATACTCTACAGTGTAGAAATAGTAATTTTCCTGCTTTTGAGTGATGCGATTTTAAAATTGTGACCAACCGGACTATTGAGACATGATTCATGAGTCATAACAAAGCGTTGTTTGATTATGATTTCTCACAACTTGTTTATTTGTATTTTGTTTGACTGTTTCGTTGTAAATAAACATCCGCACCGATAACGACCACGACCACCATAACGATATCAGCTGGAAATACTCGAATGTGACATTCATTTCGCATACTTGTAAACAAAAAGAGCCGTCAACTGAGTACTACATAATAAAAAAATACACTTTTGTTGTTTTTCTTTTATTGTACTTTTTTTATTCAAGGATGTTCAGGAAGTCATAACTGCTATTAAGCTGTGGAAATTAGTCCATCCTCTTGAGTCTATCACTCTTTTGCATTACATCGATCGTAGCTCTAAAAATTTTATCAAAGGGGATTCATTTAGAACAAATTCCATAGAAATCTTACAAAAATCCACAACTAAAATTCAAAAGCTCTTACCTCCTTGGCGACAAGTGTGAGCGCTGTCACCATGGAACTGTCAGTTTGATCGAGTAGTCGTTTGAAGAATCCGCCTGAGTCTTGAATCAACTCGAATGGATGGTCAAACTCAACGACTTCGCCCGCATCCATTACCAGTATCTTGTCGCTGTCCATGACTGTATGCAGTCGATGTGCTATCGTTATAACGGTACAGTCACCGAACTTATTTCGTATCGTGTTCTGGATCAACTTATCGGTTTCTGAATCAACGTTAGCCGTCGCCTCGTCGAGAATCAATATTTTGTTGTTTCGTAGAATGGCTCGCGCCAAACACAGCAGTTGACGTTGACCAGCGCTGAAATTCGATCCACCGTCTAGTACTTTGCAGTCGAGGCCACCGGGCATTGATGAAATTTCTGACTTCAACTCGACTTGCTCAAGTGAGTTCCAAAGTTCGTCGTCGCTTCGCTCAGCGAATGGATCCAAGTTGAACCGAAGACTTCCAGAGAATAGAACCGCCTCTTGCGGAATGATCGAAATCTTTTTTCGCAAATCGTGCAGCCCAATCACACCGACATCAACGCCATCGATCAAAATCTGACCTTCGTTCTGAGCCAAACGGAACAAAGACTGGATTATCGAACTTTTGCCAGCACCCGTTCGACCAACTACACCGACTTTTTCCTGCAAAACAGAGAAAAGAAATAAAATTTTAGTTTTTGCTTGAATTTTAATCTATTCAGTTTTTTTTATCAAAAAAAGCATTGCAAATTTTACCTTAGCGTTGATTCGGAAGTTTAAATTTCGTAGAGTTCGAGCACCTTTCTCTGCATATCGCATGCTCAGCGACTTGAATTCGATGTTTCCATAGTAAGGCCAATCTTTCGGTGGTGCATTCTTTTCATTCGATTCCAGTGGCGGTTCCGAAGGCAATTCAGCATATTCAACGACTCGTTCGACGGAAGTCATTTGATTTTCCAGCTCGGCACTTACACGCATTCCCCATTGACAAAGTCCAATCAGATTGATGCTGCTCATTATTGCCAAACCCACTTTGCCACTGTCTTCAGCTAAAATTGATAATGACGTGAATTTAATTCATTTCTAAATCCGACCTTGAATGCACTTACCACTGCTAAAAAGCAGAAAACTATAAGTGACGACGATGACATATAGAAGGCACACCAAATCCAGCCAAAAAGCGAACCACCGCGACGCACCAATGAAAAGATACCAACATGATGTGTTGAAATCTTGGAATTCATGGAATTCATTTTCTAGAAATTTTTCCGCGTTGAAAGCACGCACTGTGGACGAACCTTGGATCGTTGCATTTACATGCGAGAAAATTGGACTGCGGCCTGGAAACGCATGACATTAGTCAGTTTATTTTGTGAAAAAAAAATGAATTTTCTAAATATTCAAACGATTAAGAAAGAAAACAAGAAGTAAATGAAATCAAATTTCGAAAATATACAACAAAAACATACTCAATGCTTCAATTCGCATAAAACTGCGACCGGTATTCAAATAAGCGAGACGAATTGAATAGAAAAGCATTGTCATTACAACAGCTGGTATCAACATCCAGGGATTTACGATTACATTGATCACAATAATTGCCACGTATTGTAAAAAACACTGAAAAACGAGAAAAGAATATTGAAGTTGTTTAATAAAGATGGAGAAAATTTTGAATATACAACTCACATCCGAAACATCAATCATAATACTCGGCAGCGATGAGTCAACGTTGCTAATATCTTTTGCGAATCGATTCAGAATTCGTCCACTGGGATTGTTGTTGAAGAAACTCATCTTGGCTCGGGTAATTCCTCGGAAAATTATGTCGTGTAAATTGATCGAAATGCGCAGGCACATTCGGAAGGAAGAGAATGAACGGCATAAAACACAAATTGTGCTCAGCAAAATGATAGCAGTGTAAATGATTAGGAGCAATTCACGTTTTTCTTCCACCGTTTCGGAAAGTATGCTCGAACGTCTCTCTGCTAAAGGCTCGTCAGTTGAATTATTTGGCGTTTCGAGCGGAGCTTTCGTCACTTTTTCCTCCCAATCAACCCTGGAAAATGAAAGAATTTAATTAGATTTTTCATTGAAAAATTTTCAAGGAAAAACGAGATTCGTTGTCATCAAGAGATGAAGAAAAAAATGTACCATTTCGCCAAAAAGTAATCAGCACCACTCAATATACATTGCGCCACAATAAATAGAGTAAAAATGGTGGTAACGATGAAACGACTGTGGGCGGCTTTGAAATATGTTTTGTAAGTACTGAATTTAATGTTGCCAGTCGATTGGCGTTCCTTGCGTTTATCTGGTATAGCGTTGAGAGCATCCTCACTGAAGAATGATAATGTGGATAAATTTTTGCGGATCTGAAATTGGAAAATATTTGATGAAACGTGTTGTTTTGTCTACAAATGTGTTGTTTCAATCCAGTTCCTATTGCATTGAACTGACCCGAGTCGGAAAGGCTTCCACAACTTTTTCACCACCCTCACGCTCGGGAGGAGGAGCGTTAACCAGTGATTTTTTCCTGAATCTCTGCAGTGTTTGGAAGGGACCTTGTGCCTCTACTTTGCCTTTGTTCAACAGAACTACATGTTGCACATTCCTTAAGTACTGCAATTGATGCGTAACGAGAACGCAGATTTTATCGGACAAAAATCCTTTGATGCATTTGTCGAAGATATGTTTTCCGACATGTGTGTCAATAGCTGACAATGGATCGTCGAGCAGATAAATATCTGATTGTTTATAAATAGCTCGAGCCAAGTTCACACGCGCCTTTTGTCCACCACTGAGCGATGATCCTTGTTCGCCGACAATTGTGGCGTCTCCCTGGGGCAGCAGCTTGAAATCGCGTTCCAATGCACACACTTCCACTACCTTGTTGTACCGTTGCTCGTCGAAGTCCTCTACAAACACGATATTATTCCGAACCGAGCCTTCGAATATCCACGGCTCTTGCGATGCATAGCTTATCGTACCGTTTATGGTCATCGAGCCCGAGTCCAACGACAATTCACCCAGAATCAGATTCAATAAAGTCGATTTGCTCGAACCGACTTGTCCGACAACTGCACATAGCCCTGGCTTAATCTCTAGGTTCATATCGAATATTCCATTCTTCTGTGGGCCTTCACTTTGCTCCCATACCGCCGTCGCATTCACCAATCGGATGAATTTGTCTGGATCATCAATATTTTGAACACGTCGACAAGGTGATTCGTTCAACTTGTTAGTATCGGCAGCGATCAATGTTTCTTCCTCCGCGATTGTTCCAGGGTCTGTACGGTGACGATTTTTGTCCAACATCTCCAAATCATTTGATTTTGATTTGAGTTCACCATTTGTCAAATGTCCATTCTTGTGGTTTTTCAACTTTTTCAATACTTTTTCCGCATGCTTTGACTCTGGCCGCAACAGAAACTCCTGAATACGCCTCACGGAGACATATGCTTCAGCACTGGAGCAGAATGGAAAAAAAGTTAGCGACAGACGAATCGAATATTGCAATGAAAATGCAAATCAGACTCCAAAAGGCTACTTACGTATATGTGAGTACAATTGGCCAGAAGGCAACCATGGAAACGTTCAAAATATTGAAGTACGATGAAACAATGAACACTTTTCGTGCGGTTATCACATTGCCAAAGTAAACGTATGAGACCAAGCTCAGAAATATCGACACTTTTGATATCATTGTGAATGAATTGATAGTCGCCCGAATGTAGGCAGATGACCGAATAGCATCCACTTCCTTCCTAAAATTTGAATGAGCAAAAATATTTCAATGTTCAAGTGTTCGAGAGATCAAATAATGTTGCAGACGACGGTCATGATCTAAACTGTCACTTACTTTCGAATTTTATCGACCATTTCGGCGAAGGATTTCTCCCATGCATACATTTTAATGACCTGAATCCCAAGCAGAATTTCGTTCATGATTTTGACACGGAAATCGGTTCGTTTGGTGCTTTTCTTCCGTAACTGTGCTGACATTCGGCCCATCCAAGCTGTGAAAAAGAGGCGTTTTGCAGAAGTATCATCCAAAGCAAATGAATTTTTATTTATGATGAAAGCGCTTACTTTGCA